CTTTGGTTTAGTATTGTTTAACGCCCTATCAACAGCTATGGTCATTTAAGGACAGCCTCCCCTGTATGCAAGATACATGCGTGTGTGTTTTGGGAGGCTGCGATATGTTCGTGTTTGTCTCCTTATAACGCGGAACTGATGCCGACTTTCTAGTGCTACCTCACTGAAACCTACTGCCGAAGACACCTAGCAGGACACCCCACCCGGTCACATCATACTGACAACGGGCTAACCAATCGTCCCACTCCTTAATTGCTGAGCGCTAAGGACTCACACAACTAAATCATTTACTATATGTTATTACCAAACATTTTAGCTAATAACTTCAATATTTGAAGTTCAAAACCAGTGACAACTGTCTAGATTCATAAATGCATACCTTGCAGAGGCTACAACATGACTTTTGTGGTAGGTTTAGTGGCATATTGGAGTGTCACAGCGTCAATAAGTTGACAACCGGAAGTTTACAAGCAAAACAGGTGACCCAAAACAGAAACGCCCCCAGACATTTTGTCCCTGTACAAAACCTCACACAGACATTTTTCAAAAGTTAAATACCTGAACATTTCATTTATCTATAAATCTGTCATCAGTTCCTTATTAAACTTCTACAGTGGCACAGTAATTAGCCGGAACTTATTTTAGACAGGAACTACAAACGTATGAAACACTTGCTGATTGGCTGATTTAGTTGAGTCCTCAAACAGGAGTGCAAACTACCATTTATACAGACGCTGGTATGTCTCGGCCAGGGGACAGAACCCAAAGTCTTCCTCAAAGGGGCAAATGCTCAGCTAAAGGCCAAAAGAGAGGCATTGCCAATGGAGACATTGGGAAGAAGAAAGTTGTTTAGAAAGAAGAGAAAAGATAATATCCCAAATTTAGTCGCCTCTTACGATCATACAATGTGGGCAGCAGGTACAATTCTTACGCCCTACCTGCAGGGACTACATATAAAAATACTTATATATTTGTCTGATAGTCGGTTGTTGTATTTTATTAAACTAAAGAGTTATCGCCCCTTATTGGTTTCATTTTTGGAAGGACGGAACACGTCTCCGAATAAAAAACCCATCTCTCCCACCATTTGTTTTGTATATCTATTTTCTGCTGCGCCTTTTCCCTTATATATTGCAGTTCATTCCCTGGAAATCATCAAACGTCACCACATATACCGAAAAGTGGCGGAATTTCTAACTTGGACAAAAGATTGCTAACAGTTTTAATTTTATTGACAAGTTTAATGTCAGTATTAACAGCTATTATTTTGAAGGGATATCCTGTTTTCCTTTTTAATTATTTACTATCGTGTTGTTGACGTCATTGAACATACATAACAAAATATCATCAGTATAGGTCGAGAAGTTTGCCTTCAATAAATAATTGAATTTTATTTTATTTCTAGAAAACCCATGATTCTGCTCACCGGCGACGATGATAGTCGAGCATATTTATTTTCCCCACAAAGCACTTCCACTTCCGACTGGTCGTACCGGATGGATATCTTCACCAATACGCACAGTGGAACGATCGGAGGCATGACGTATAGTGATGTCGACGGTGACGGTTATCCGGGAATATTTGTTCCATCGTACAGTCATAACTTAGTTTATTGTTTTGTTGACATTTCGATATTCCATTGTTTTCAGTATATGGAAAAGTATGTCCTTTTTGGAAGGTCTCCCAAAGTGATTGTCTTATTAATAGTTGTCTTGATAAAAAAAAATTCGATGGATGGAATACAGACCCTGGGCAGTGCATCACATGACCATAAAATATGAAATTATGAAAAATCGTGGCTAAATTTCTATAAGCCTTATACTACTAATAATAATAATATATACCGCTTTATCTCAAACTAGTTCTTAGATCGCCTCAAAGTGGTCCACGAATTGAGCATTGAGTCCTTGATATCATATACTGTACAGTGTTCAGAGTTAGACGCGAATAAACCGAAGCAATCTGTTGACATATTTTGATCGGTTTTCCTAAAGGATTATTACGAAATAAAAACTGTAGGTAACACAACTTGAACGATAACATGAATCGGCCTTTGGTCAGTGTTAATGGATCGTTTATAAATGATTGACAAAATATATTTCTTGTATATTGTTAAGTAACAATTTAGGCTTGGCTGGATTGATAATTTTATTTTTGACTAGTCGTTGGAGTCTTGTAATAGGTATAGAAGTTGGCAAAAAAGACACCTTTGGCTCAGCGGCGATCGCCTCGATATGGGTAGCCCATATATGTGACGTCACAAGTTTAACGCTGTCAAAACAGCCCTATAGGAATATTCCGGTAAGCTTCGACCGTGCGTTCTATATGTGAGCTTTTTAGCTACTTACATTGTATATGATATATTTCGTCGTCACTTACTTGTGTAGATGATATTTAAAGACTACTAACATATAAAAGATTTTTTTTTACAATTTTAATAAAGAAATTAGTTCCTCCTGAGGAGGCAAATAGTGAAAAACTATATAAATATGTATTTTTTTTAAAAATTAATTGGTTAATCTAGTGACTGTAAATAATTTACTCTTTATTATTAAATTGATGGTTAAAAAAATTGATGAACACCTATATACAACACAAAATAATTGGTTAAAAATTGAGTAAAATTAACTTAGGCGCACCGCACACCTTTCTTTGCAATATGTAGATATACGATTGGAATTGACAAAAAAAGCACTGGTACAATAATTTATACTCAAAATGAGTAGCAACCCGTGTTTTTCTTTTCTTTAACACCCAGTCATAAAACTTGAAACGTTTTTATTGTTTATGCAATCCAAGGCACTTATCACATGGTAAATATACACACCACTTCTAAGATTATAGCAGGGAGAGAACCTGTCCGTTCAAGTCTCACAAAGATGAGTAATGTATCAATGAACCACCTGATCAGATATATAATGTGCATAGCATGGTCCAGCATTATTTGCCTCGTTTTTGACTTTCAACTGTCGAGTGATGCAGTTGTACCAAGGACTTAGATCTAATTCCATGGCTGCACTGATTGTGGTTTGCATTGCATATACTTCTACCATATAATGACCTCCTTCAACAGGTTGAAGATAATGTCATGAGAGTGTAGATACATTACCAGGACAAAAATAATAATTATGATAATAACATAATACACGAAAAATCCTGTATTTATAAGAATACATAAATGCATGTATACGTATTGTGTATGTAAATAGATACGTAGACAATTAGTAAACATGGACAGAGAGAGCAGATTTGAAGAAGGTAAGGTTCTCAGCAGATACAATTTCATCAGGCAGGTTATTCCAATCTTTGATTGTCCAAGGAAAGAAGGAGTCTTTCTTAACTGAGTACTGGGGATAACTGTGCCTTGTTTGTCTATTTGTGGGGACAAGGTGTTTGTTTGAAATGGCAACTGTATTGTTGTTAATTCTATGCAGCCTGGCTAGTCTTGCGTCGTCTCTGCGATCTGCAAGGCTGCGCCATTGAAGATGTTCTATCATGTCACCAACACTGGAGGTGTTATGGAAGCGATTCGTGACATAACGGGCAGCCCTGCGCTGTATTTTATCTATTTGTTCAGCGTCTTTTTTTAAGTATGCGTCACACACTGGGCTGGCGTATTCAAGCTGTGGGCGAACCAACGAGTTATATGCCTTCTCCTTTGTATTAGATGATGATACTTTTAGGTCACGCCTCAAGAAGCCAATGGTGGCATTGGCCTTTTTAGTTATTGTTGTTAAATTTCCATCTAAACCAAATGCAATCTACATACTAACTTCAGAAAAATATTAATAAATGAAATTCGTTAGCACTATCACAGAGTCACATTATATAAGAACTAAAACATGTTAAAATGTCCATTTTTGCCGATTTACACAGGTCCTTTAGCAATCCTGGCAAAATATCTAAAAATTGTAAATAGAAAACGACAAAATGTAATGAAGAGTTTATCTGTAATATATTTATATTTTATATACTATTGTTATATACTACTTTTATTTCTTAGCAATGCACACTTCTAAGTGTTTTTTTTACTTGTATATAATTGTTATGTTGCATTGTATATATGCTATGTACCACTGATGAGCTGTATGCATGATCTCGAACTTGAATCGGTCACTGAATAATTTACTCTAGTAGCACACCACAGCATCAGTGAAATGGGTCAGTGAACCATGCTAGAGGCTTTCGTATCTTTGATCTCAGTGGCCTGCGTAACAGCCACAGGACACAGTTCTAACAGTTAAGAGGGCCGTTGGTAGAATACAAATTGATGATGTTTACGCCAAGATTACATTAATACAGCACCTGAGGTTTCTTTACGAATTAATATACTACTCTAAAGAAATATGATGGTTTCTATTCACTTGAATTAAAAGTATTATCTATAATAATAATGTTTCAATCCGCTGAGGTATAGAAAAGAGATTGAGAATATCGAAGTATAATTTTTAACTTGACGCGATTCAGTCCAAATGTGTCAACAAAAATGGAAATCTGGACTGGTGATCCCGCCCGTGATTAGCAGTTGTGTGGCAAGTCCTGAATGCAATCGTTCTATTTAGCTTCTACTTTTTCTGAAATAGCATTTATAGCTATATTGTATACAATGAATGGCACATACTGGTTTCTATCGGTATTAATCGACGTGTCCAGTACGGATACACAAACCAGAGACATATAAAGTCCTAGTATAAAAGTCTCTACACAAACCAACAGCCCCATCGTTGACACGTGCCTCGAGTATGGAGGTGATCTTTTTATGGTATTCAATAGGTTCGGAGTCATTCTGCCCGATTACTAATTTACCATATACTACACAATAAAACACGTAGTATTGTATTCACATATTAAAACATGCATTTAGTTCATATCTACTGACAAGAATATCCGTCCTATCCATATCTTAAATAATGCATACATCCTGTGTCGTTTAAATATAATAGTATTGCCACCATATTGCTATAGATAAACGAGGAGCGTGGGCAATGATCAGATTTGACATTTTTTTTCTAATTCCTTGAATCGGTACACCTCTGGGTTTTATGAAAACTGTAGAGAGAGATATCATCATTTGTGGCGATACAGGGTGTACAGGAAGGGTACGTATTTGTGTGAAAATTCATTTATGTAACTATTTGTACTTAGCCAGCACGATATCATACAAACGATAATTGTTAAAGCGATATTATGTGTTTAGATTTAAGGTTCGTGTTTGCGATATTGTGTGTTAGGTTTAAAATTCATGTTTAGTGTACTACAAAACAGGATATTCCTTGTAGGGGACCTTGGAAGTCAACAATATTAAACAATAATGCACAAGGATTGTAACGCTAAATAGCACAATGTTTTTGATAGTTCCCTGTCACTGTATATATCAATAACGATACAAACATTGCATATGGATTTTCGGGATTTCACAGTTCAGGTGGTGGGCACGTCTATCAACATTTTTTTTGAATAAATAAAATCTAGTCTTATCTATTAAAAACAAAATGACAGACGTGCCCTCTACCTATGGTTCAGGTAGTAGTACGCTGTCAGCTGCCAACAACATAAGGCCAATACTGACACGTGACATCTAGCAGTTCTTTCCCTGTACGATGTAACAATATTGGTTAAGCCATTATAAGTTATCGCCCTTGATGTAAAACTCTCCAACACTAGTGACTACAAAATTCTGACTATCCTCGTATCGCGGTAGCATAACCCAACCATGCTGACTAGACTCGTACACTGCTGACTATAACCCAACAATGCTGACTTTTAACTGAAATTCACTTTAAATTACCATGGTTAGGTTATACTCAGCGTTGTCGTTTTAAAGTCAGCACGGTCCGATAAAAGTCAGCATAAAGATTTTACCTGTGTTCATTGAAATGCGCGCGAGCTCCACACGGCCAGTGCTGGACAGCAGCAGGGGGTTTCACACCTCCTGTAGGCCGCGAGCGTCAGCTCTGATCGCGACATTTCTTTACCTTTGAACCGCCTATAGACATCAGTTTCACACCGAAATGGCTACTGAAATCCTTCCGTACACGGCCATTCTTTACCCGCCGTGCTTACGTAATATGTAACAGTGCCGTGTTTGTAATTTACTTCGGCTGTCTGTTGAAATATGTGTTTGCTTATTACTCGATTTGTAATAAAAATATATCTGAATACATGTGTCGTGTTCGTACTTTTATTCGGCCTGATGATCTGAAATACGTGTTTATTAAACACTCGATTTAGATGTCAAATTAAAACTATAAAACTGTACCGTGTTTGTAATTTACTTCGGTCTGGTGGTTTGAAATACATGTTAAGTTTGTTATGTACATACTCGATTAATATGTCAAATTATACATTGAAACTGTGACGTGTTTGTAATTTACTTTTTATTACTGATTTGAAATACGTGTTTGTTACACACTCGAACAGTGCCGTTAAAATACATGTTTTAAACACTCCATTAATATGTCAAAATAAAACTGTGGATGTGTGCCCTTTTGGTAATTTACATCGGCCTGGTGTTTTAGTTTTTGATTCTCCACAGAGCACCCCTCGGAATAAGACAATATCGCTATAATTGGATAATTGGCGATTTGATATCAGACGGGAGTCATTGTGTTTCCAGGTGACCTTGTAAACACACAGGAGAGTTCAAATACATGACCTTGTATCGGAAATGCATTCAGCCGTGACATCGTATACGTAGTACACAAGCGGTGTCCGGGGGCTAAATTTGCCTGTAACAATTGCTCTAGAAACAGTTATCGCCAACGATTGTCGACAGTAACTTAAATAAAAGCCCCACATAGACATTTTCGCCAAGAGCAGTTTCAAATCGCCAATTATGTTTTACTTTCGCCAATGGCGCAAGTGGCGATCGCCAGCACGAGCCCTGGACTATATGATACCACGGACATTAGATCTAATCAAATCTACATTTTTACCTTATCAAATTTACTTTAATACTTTCAAAAACATGTTGAACACTTGAAACAAAAAGAAACGGGCCGGTACACCATACTACCTGTGTTAGTTGGATGATCGGTTATAAATGCCCTTTGGCCACGACATTCACAGGTAACACCTCTGAGGTAATTAGTTCACCTGTTAACTCACAGGTAAGTATCGTTAATGCCCTTTGGCTATAGTATAAAGTGGTAAGAATTACAGGTTATTAACATACCTTTTAATTCACAGATAAGATATTTAGGTGTGTAAACTGTGTATCACTATCCCTCAGCTAAAAGTTAGTGTACATTGAATGTAGTTGATGCAGGTACGTAATTAGATTTCCGTGATTCAGGATTGAATCAGAGACGGATACTTTACAGAGATTGGCAACTTGTTCTTTACCTTACCATTGGTCACGGTAAACGGATGTCATATCGCAAGTTACGCTTCACCTGCGCCATATTGGATATACGGTTCGCTGCATTCAATAATCCTTTTCTGTTCAAAACATAAATGTGCCATAAGATAACATCGAAAATCAACATAATATTAAAAGATTGTAAATAGTGTGATTGTTCTTATAACGTGTCTAATAAGTCAGTTTTGCTAGACACATTTTATATTCAAAGTCAAAGATGTATTGTGAGTTTATGAATACTATGTGTTTGACAACGAAAATGAAATATATGAACTATTAAACCTGTAGCTAGCTGAGATTTCCATGCGGTTTGAGAGTGCTCCATTGAATGTAAACTTGAATGAACACCAAACATAGAAAGATTGCACATCGTGGCTGTGTTTACATATCGGTAATGGCTCTGGCTTCAGGAGAACACAAACTCCGTTTTTGTTATTTAGACAATTTCAAAAACGTCTTAATAAATTCATTATTTGATAATATTTCTATCAAGGTTTTCAACATGAGGTTGTTACAAAACTTGCAAAGTTTAATAATTTAGCTCTGAAAATGCTTTTTAAAAATATACAAGTTAAAATGGCGGCTTTGATGTACGAGGGTTATTTCTTTCATGACACATTAGAACACGAACTCCTTTTTATTAATTATTTTATTTCAAAAAACATCTTCAGCTATGAATTATTTAATAATATTTCTAACCAGGTTCTTAAAATAAGGTTGTTACAAATCTTGATTTCAAGCAAGATTGTACTTTTTCTGTCTTACAATTTACATTTTTGTCTTTTCAATACAACTTACATTCATGTCATTTCAATTCAAAAACACATGTTCATAACACTACTGATATCATGTTCTTCCAATGAAAATGGGTTGCGCAAGGGTAATTTTAGAAATGCGTGCCAATTCCAAATAATTATATGAATATATATTTGGCACCATTTATTATCAGGAAGACATATGTACAGAGTCCTTCAAAAACAATTATTAGCTGCTGCACCTTTTCTGATACTATAAAAATTGCATTATGAGACCAGGCATAACTACATACAAGAACATCTGATGTGTAGAAAAGTAGGTTATTGTATTGTCAAATTGCTCGGAACCTTGCGGTTTATAGACATATTATTTAATATTGATATACACATTAATAACATACACGTATTACAAAACATCAGGTCGAAGTAAATTACAAACACGGCACTGTTTTATTTTGACACATTTATCAAGTGTTTAAAACTTGTATTTCAAAACCCTAGGTCGAAGTAAATTACAAAGACGGCACAGTTTTAGCGTTTAATTTGACATATTATCGAGTATAAAACAAACATGTATTTCAAAACACCTGGTCGAATAAATTACAAACACGACACAGCTTTATACAGATCAATCGATTATGTAACAAAGACGTATTACAAAACATCAGGTCGAAGTAAATTACAAACACGGCACTGTTTTATTTTGACACATTTATCAAGTGTTTAAAACTTGTATTTCAAAACCCTAGGTCGAAGTAAATTACAAAGACGGCACAGTTTTAGCGTTTAATTTGACATATTATCGAGTATAAAACAAACATGTATTTCAAAACACCTGGTCGAATAAATTACAAACACGACACAGCTTTATACAGATCAATCGATTATGTAACAAAGACGTATTACAAAACATCAGGTCGAAGTAAACTACAAACACGGCACTGTTTTATTTTGACACATTTATCAAGTATTTAAAACTTGTATTTCAAAACACTAGGTCGAAGAAAATTACAAACACGGCACAGTTTTAGCGTTTAATTTGACATATTATCGAGTATAAAACAAACATGTATTTCAAAACACCTGGTCGAATAAATTACAAACACGGCACAGTTTTATTTGACATTTTAATCAAATGTTTAAAACATGTATTTAAAAACAATAGGTCGAAGTAAATTACAAACACGGCACAGTTTTATAGTTTAATTTGACATATTTATCGATTATAAAACAAACATGCATTTCAAAATACCAGGTCGAAGTAAATTACAAACAAGGCACAATTCGAGTGGTATGTAATAAACAAGTATTTCAAAACAACAGGTCGAAGTAAATTACAAACACGGCACAATTTTATAGTTTAATTTGACATATGTATCGATTATAAAACAAACATATATTTCAAAATACCAGGTCGAAGTAAATTACAAACACGGCACAGTTCGAGTATGTAACAAACACGTATTTCAAAACAACAGGTCGAAGTAAATTACAAACACGGCAGTTTTATAGTTTAATTTGACATTAATCGAGTAAGTACATAACAAACATGTATTTCAAAACACCAGGCCGATGTAAATTACAAACACGGCAGTTTTATAGTATGTACATAACAAACATGTATTTCAAAATACCAGGCCGATGTAAATTACTAACTTGCCACAATTCCATAGTTTTATTTTGAAATAGAGATCGTGCAAGGAAAAAACCAAAACACCAGGCCGATGTAAATTACCAACAGGGCACAATTCCACAGTTTTATTTTGACATATTAATGGAGTGTTTAAAACATGTATTTGAACGGCATTGTTCAAGTATGTAACAAACACGTATTTCAAAACAGAAAAAAGGTAAATTACAAACACGCCACAGTTTTATAGTTTAATTTGACATTAATCGAGTATGTACATAACGAACATGTATTTCAAAACACCAGACCGATGTAAATTACAAACACGACAGTTTTATAGTTTAATTTGACATA